ATAATAAAAAAAAAAAGGGAGAAAGCTGGAGAGCAATTTCCTCTTTCGATTTTCAATGAGGCGTGGTGTTTTTAAAAGAAATTTCCAGGCAAAGTGGAGGCAAATGAGATGCGTGTGATACGCCACCGAAATTATCTACAGAGACATCACGAAAAATGCTCCTTTGTGTTTGGAAACGATCAAAAATTCTATGCAAAAAAAGTTAAAATCTGAAACTGACACGATAAAATCGACTGTTCGCAAGATTTCCCCGCGACGAAGAGAGTTCACCTAACATACACTCAAGGTTCACTCGAGCCTAGCGACTATGAAATAAAATTAAAGAGAAATCTCTCTGAATAAAAAAAAAAAAAAAAGAAAAAAAAGAAAAAGAAAGAGGAAGGTTTTCGTTTCATCGCTTAATGTTTTATTTAAATACACGCCAAATATGCCCGATGCTCGTAGGAGAAATCGAGAATCGATTTAATCGGCGATTTAAATTTAATTAAAGTAAATATATATATTTATCGATAGTCTCGGCGCAAAGCAAGGTTTGCTCCGGAGCACACGAAGAAAAAAAAATGTGTCGGATCTTGCGATTTTCATGCAAATTGCAAATAATTTACTCCCGTGTTTTTCGTCCTTCCCAGTTCTTTCTTTTTTTTTTTTTTTTTTTTTTCAAACTCGACGACTGAACAAGTTTGCACAGGTGTAAAACAAGCCGAGAACTGTCCAGCGACGCGTGCAGTAAGCAGCTTCGATTTTTGCTCTCGTAGAAGCGTGCCTGGCCGGCGAGGATTTGCATAGTAAAGCTTGCCCAGGGAACGACCGTGTATTTTAGTTTGCCCAGCAAACGAACGGACGTTACTTTGAAACACGTCGCTACGTGTTTTTAATATCGTTAATTTACTATGGCGGTCTTCTCCTCTCTTCCGTCCTTCCTTTCCTCTTCTCTCCCGCGGATCAGCTTTTTTCCCGTCGTTTTTCGGTTTCGTAGAACTTCGCGTCGAAGCGAAATCTCGCGCGTGTTAGAACCGCAAGCTGTCGCTCGCACGGATGGAATTTCGCGTGGCTGGAAATAATTAACCGGCTTGTTTGAATAACTTTCGTTTCATAAATGTTTGTTTCGGTGATCGAAATGATAGAAAAAGAAGGAGGGAAAAACACGTGACAAGTTTTTCGACTGGGAAAAAAGAAGGAAATTGGTAACACGGTGAATGTTAGGAGAGAAGCTTGCTGAACCGCGGGAAGAAAATCGAGAAAACGTTCGATGATTTATGAGTATCGTACAATGGGTATCGATTTCTGTTCGCACGTTGCCGTAGGTGCCATCATTTTTCGGCTTCTCGATAAAACGTGATTTACTGGTCACCATAGATCCTGGTGAAATTTTCAGTTAGCCGACACGTTCAACGAACCGCTGTATCCCAAAGAGAGAAAACGTAACGATACTATTACATCGGTGTACCATGATTAATTTACTATACTATTTCATACTCGTGTTTCTATCGAGAAGGATACCAATTCTGGGAAAAATTTGCTACGTGAAATACGAATCGATTAACTCGAACTACGCGAGTCCAGAGTCAATCTCGAATCTGCCGTATATGCTCTCTTGTAATGCAATTTTATTCAATCCACTCTGCACACGGAATCATGCATAAAACATTGTGTACACGTAATACAGGCGCTATTATTGCACTCGAAATTAACCCTTCTGCAGATCGTACTCATCTTTCTGCAAATAAAATTTACCTTATTGCAAATGAAATTTATCTTGTGAGCGATTCAAAGTAACACACTTTATTATTCATCCAATGATAAACTCCGTTAAAGGAGTTTTTTTCAGAAATTAAATTCGACTCACTGCAGCGAGCCATACAAGCAGTTTTTCCGACCTTCCTGGGCCTAGCTAGGTTTCAATGCTAAGGTGGAGGGGATTAAAGAAGTGGAGGGGGATCGCCAGTTCGCCACTTCTGCTTTACATTTAGTACATTGATTTTAGTTATCAATCATTTTGTCGCTATCATTCAGATTATTATAATTATATTCTACAAAACTGCGTTATAGGTGAATGTACATATGTACGTATAAATACTTTTATTATCAAGTAAGTATTAGTTATTTGTTGTAAAATTTCGATCTCCGACTTTCGATCTCGGATTTCATTTTTATTACACTGGCATGAGAAAACAAATATGCAGGCAAGCTTGATTTGCAAAATTTAATTTGCAGAAACGTGAATGTGATCTGCCAGTGGGTGTAAACTTGCATATGTCCACGCATAAAACAGAATAGAAAATGTAACACACGAGCGTACGTGCAAGAATCCGCGTAACAAAGTATCAGATATTTCTGTACCCTGGCAAATAACGAATTCCCGTATATACTCGCATAACTGTCACGGCATGTCGGACAGTTAAATCGAACAATTCCGGGATATTCCGCGAAAACCCAAACTCCTGCCGCCAGGAGACATACAAAAGTGGAGCGAGGAAAGGAAAATGGGATGGGTGGCCGCTAGTGAAACGTCGATGGGCTCTCGATATTACGACTGATTGTTCGCGTTCTAAAGTGAAATCGGTTCGGA